TATGATATATATATTTCTACGTAGGCAAAATGTCAATTAAGAAATATTTATAACATATTAGCAGTAAAAACCCACCTGTTTATTAAAACTTAAATAATAAGCATTCATCAAGCATTTGCTTTCCTATCTTTTATTAGATAAACCTAAAATAAGCCTTAACAATGAAACTTCTAAAAGGGAAAGAGAAATGGGGTTTAACGTCCACTTGACACAAACTATGTCATTTCAGGACTAACATATGGTTCAATTTTATTTCAATAATTTGTTAGGGGTCTTTAGCAGTGGGAGGAAACCGGAGGACCTGGAGAAAACCCACGAGGTTGGACAGGTGATCCTACTCCTTGCCACATACAGTTGACTCAATGACAGACCTTGATACAACACGCACACGCTAACCATTCAGCCTTCCAATCCCCCCCCCCCCGGTTTTCTAAAAGGTTTTGGTTAAGCTATGATGTTTGCTTACCTTATTTTATAATAAGACAAACCTCAAATACACCTTGTCTCCCTTAAATTTAAACTACAATGAAACGTCTAACAGATTTTCATTATGTTACAATGAAAAAAAAAGGTTTGCTTACCTAATTCTAATAAAATAAGCCTTAGGTTTTCCTTAAATTTAAACTATAGAGCAACTTCTAAAATGATTTTTCTGAACAAATGTGTTAAGGGTCCAGGGCACCAGGCAGTTATTACAGGGAATAAGGTCGTATGGTATATATAAACTAAATTAAATAGCTTATTTTCAATTTCCATATATAAGGTATATTATGCCATACCTATGTATAACAATTGTATATTAATACAGTTATGTTTGAAGTAGTAAAAGTACATTATTCTGTATATAGAGTATATGACAATATGATTAATAGCTAATCGGTCTTACTCAAGGTATCAAAATGATACTTTTCTATGTATCAAATGACATTTATCTTATGCCACCTATAAGGAATTGGGACTTCAGTAGAAGTCTTCTTAAAAGCTTAATGGTAATGTATATACATTTAAGCTCAGTAGAACTGGAGACGATCAGGGTTTTTTTGTTTGTCCTTTTCCACAATGTAATAGAGAGAGAGAGAGAGAAATGGGGTTTAACGTCCACTCGACACAAACTAGGTCATTTCGGGACTAACATATGGTTTTTAATTTTATTTCAATAATTCGCTTGTGCGCAGGGGTCTTTAGCAGTAGGAAGAAACTGGAGGACCCGGAGAAAACCCATGAGGTTGGACAGGCGACCCTACTACTTGTCACGTACAACCAGGGATTCGAAACCATGCCAGTTGACTCAATAACAGGTCATATGATAAAGCGAAGACGTGCTAACCATTCGGCCATCCAACCACCCTACGTAGTAGAACGGTATCAAAAAGTTATATTGATCAGGTTATTTCAATGAAAAATTGGAAGCAAGCGCTTTGAAAGACTTCCAGAACCCCTATAAATAATTTTGGCGATCATTCCAAAATGGCTTAATATCTCAGCTTAAACAATCAGACGAAGAAAATAAGACTATTTCTTAACCTTTTGATCTGCAAATGTAGCATTTTTTATTTGGGATCCATTAAAACTGAAACTAGTCCTATACAATCAAGAAGTTTTAACCACTTATTTTATGAGACCCAATAAAACTGGAACTATTCCTTTAAAATCAAAAAGTTTTAACCACTTTTTTGCACCTGTCACACTATTTGTTTATCTATTATTGAATTCAGTTAATAACTCATTCACGTCTGCTTATCATCAAACTATTAAAATCCAACCTCTCCTTTTTCATATAGGTATATTTCTAAGCATGACTGATTAGTTTTAAAACACAGCCTATTCAGTTTCCATGAAAAAACATTCTAACTATATTATTTGTTTTCATTTGCTCACAAAATGTGCTAAAACCATTTAGAACACAGCCTGTTCTGTATACAAACCAGTGTTGAAAAGATTTCTTTTCAAAGACTACTTTCGTTGATAGACATTTTCAAATATTTTGAAATTGATTTTAATCAGAAATGGACCACACCTACCAGGTGTATTATTCAACACTCGAGTACATACGATATGCTGTCCGCTGGTTCAACAATTATGAAAGACGATCATATTTTGTTTGTAATAAAGAGTATGGATGTTGAGAACATTATGAAAAGCGATCAAATTTTGTTTATAAAAAGAGTGAGGATGTTGAGAACATATTATAATTATTCTGATGACATTTTAATTGATTTTACCTGCATTTCCATTCACAGTTTAATTAAAATCTAAAAAATAATATCTTGTTCAAAATCATCTTCGATATAGATATGTATAGCTTTAACATGCAATGTCTAGTATACGAGACCCATTTTGTTCCTTATGACTTCACACTTTAAAAGAGAATTAGTGCATGTGATGAGATTGCTGGTTGGGAAAGTAATCTGATATAAACACAACTTTCACATACACTGTCTAGTACATGAGTTCCATTTTAATTCCTTAGGACTCAATAATCTTAAGATTTGTTTAAATTTGACAATCGAGTAAGATTGCTTATGCTAGGTTCCCAATATCACGATTCGAGCTATGATTGAAACTGTGGTTTTAATCGTGGAGTAATCATGATGATCCTATCAGGTCTTATCGCAGCAATTGTGTTGATCGTATCTGCACATACCAGATCGTGGACTCAATAGGGACAATCCTATCGTAATGCATGGCGATGGGAACCTAGCATTGCAGATCAGACAACTCTTAAGCTTTGTAACAAGATTTCAGTGGACATTCAAGTAAATCTATTGCTTTAAGTAAACCAGTGTTTGGTATTCTCTTTAAAATGTTACCACCAAATTTTATCGGACTGGTGGTGCAAGCATAGGTGAAATACTGCTGGGATAGGGGCAGAGTGGATTCTATTTTCTTTGAGTTTAGAAACAACTAATTATCTCAAAGTAAATCGGGGCGGACAAAAAAGAAATAAGAAAGAGGCTAACGACTTCCTTTCCTGAAATACATAACACTTCCACCTCCATGAAAGCAGTATTGTTCAATTCGGGGAGTTAGCACAATTAACAATAACTGTTCAACATCAGAAAAACCTGAATTCAATCATATAGAACATGACTAACTGGTATGATACAATATTATATTTTATACAACAACATGACCAGCTGTCACACGTACGCGATATTACAACATCATTTTTAATATAACATTAAATAAAAGCTATATAACATATATTGCTAAAAAAAAACAGTTTTCACCAATGTGTAGGCCTACATATGTCTTGAAAAGGAATACAACACTCCTACACAAAAAGCACAAGCTTAAATTTTCATATAAAATGTTTTACAAGAAGATTAAAACCGATGCTCATGATAATCTATTTAATATCCTTCCCAATCTTTTTCTTTTCTAAATCCATCTAAAATCATTTTTTGCGCTTTTGTTATGCTATTTAGTGGATTAATTCTAGGACTTTGCACTTTGAGGGAAAAGCAGCACAATTGATACAAGACATTTAAAAAAAAATCCAACATTTCCTTTTTTACTTACATAATGCTTGACAACTCCTACCTTTACCAATTTAATCTGAAAATTTCACAATTTTAACCCGAAGTACAAAAGAGCTCACTCTGCTAAAATCCCTACATTTTGTCCAATAAATAATTCTTAAATGTATAAATTTTCCATAATGTTCTAGACTGTGAGTCAAACTTCTGTTACACACCTGATTCTGTTAGAAAGAAGGTAGGCAGGGAAAAATCAATATAGTCTATTGTATGACTAATATTCACTTAAACCCTACAGGTTAATATTGAAAATATATTAAGGTTAATTCCATTTCTTTGAAATCTAAATTGGCTAGCTTAGCATGTGAATGTTACATTATGTTCATGTACAACGAGGTACACTTGATAGAAAATGACAGCGGAAGAAATAGGCCATTTGTAATGATTATTTCTAACATGAATTAGTTATGACTTATTTAAACGCTGTTGCAAACATTTTTTTTTCTTTTTTAAATATTTATAATCTGTTTTGATGTTTCAGTTATTGAAACAAGTTTTAAATTTAAAGAAAATTGTCCATTTTGTTCAAAGTGTATTATACACAGAGGGGTAAATATAAAAGTTATTGCACAGTTATGATCATTTTAAAGCTTGTCTGATGTGATAAAAAAAAGAAGAAGTTAATTCAAAATGAACATCAAACCGTTTAAGTTTGGGGAAATTATGACTTGGAAGTTTTATTTTATTGAAATGTATTCAAGCAGAGAATTTTCGAGTCCAATTACAAATAGAGGTACATAGAAAGTCATGGAAAGCTATAATTAACAACATTATTAGAGCGTACATCAAAAAAACTAAGTTGTATTCATAATTTTGCATTCTAAAAAGAAAATTGAAGGAAAATGTCACAGTGAATTTCATCATATATACTGCCATTTTGAACTAGGGGTGTCAAGCCGTTTTAAAAACCAAATTTACTCACAAATTTTTAATACTCATAACAAAGACCTTTTTATCAAAGTTATTAGAAAAACCTTTCCAAATATTTGGCAATGTCTGACCAGGATATTCTGTACCCACTGATCATTCCGATTTATATTATAAATATATCAATAAACATACTTATATCTGTATGTGGTCCTGTCAACAAGTGGTCTTTGATTGACAGAAAGTTTTATTACATTTAAGATTTCCTAAAATTTCTCACAACATGTATAACTCTAAGTGTTATCTGAATAGAATTATTCATGATGAATATCATTGCCATAAACACCTAATGGACATTGACTAAATGACCACTTGGACCTACCTGCTTATCATTGTACACAATGAACACCATGACTGGGCTGGAGTTCTTAGATAAATTTAAAACTTTATTTAATCACAAACTATGACATAAGCTGCATAAATAGTCACCAAACTATAGAGATATCAATACAATAACTGAATAACTACCTGTAGTACATATTATACTTATTGGGTTATAATTAATACAGGTATTTTACTTATTGTACAACTTACCTTTACAATCATTATATCCACAGGTAAATAATATATACTCCTAGATCTACACAACCAACATTAATACATAAATACCGATCAGAGATAATCCACTATATATAGTACTACGAGTCCAGTTCTAACAACATCACTAACTAACACTCTCTCACACAGTCAGTGTTCATATGACAATCTATTAACATGATAACAGCTACTGAGCTATAACCACTACTAACATCTCCTAGTACAGCTTAGCCGAGAGACTCTTTCAATGAATGGAGCAAGTCAACCAATAGACTAGAGGCTGCAATACAATGAGGAATAGCCACAGGCCAAACAATAGCGATACCGGCTTGCTCCCATCATTAGCATTAATTTCCAATATCCCAAAACTATCAGATCGAATTCAAAAACGACAAACTTGAAATAATTAAATTTGAATGTTATCTAAAATCAATGATTAGTACTATATTGGATGGTCGAGTTATAGGTATGGTGATTCTCTGTGACGTACTGTTATTATGATCTACCTGGGTGACAAACCCAACGTGTGAATTCACTATATGATATCGATGTTCTTTAGAGAATCACTGCTGTTTTGTCAATAACTGATCAATTCACAAACATCATAATATGTAAATTATTGTTTCCATGTTAATTATCTGCTGACTAGAACGATGACACACGGCCCACGCATCTGATCACAATCATTAGTCATGCAGTTAACAAAAGGTAGACAATTATCAGTGCCATTTTAATTCCGTGAGTAATATTGGGAAATCCCTGAATTGCACATTCCAGTTGATTCAGTAAGTTGAACGATTTCATTTTTCTTGACGAGATATTCGAGATAATTTGCTAATGAAAGTAAGGTGACTGACTTTCATGCCCGATTTCACTCACAGATAAATAAACTTTTTTTCTATGACCGACATACAATCAGAATCTGTCAGATTTTTTTCAAAACAAGGAATATTTAGAACAAAGCGACCATTTATTGTCTGTTCACTCAAATTCTCCACTTTAAAAATTTAATTAAAGGTACACCAAGTTTGTACAAGTGAGAATAATTTGATATTATTCAGCTTTTAATCCTACTAATTGTTTAATATGCATAATAAATTCAGAAATTCTAACAGTTTAAGCTCCAATACATACACTATTCTTGGATAATGCCCCAGTGCTGAGTTTATCTCTTGTTTAAGCATTATTTTGGTTTAATGGATTGAATAAGTTTGTAGATGGCCCTAATGTAATAGTATTTACTCAATCCAAATACTCGATGTGGTTGGTTTTTATATATCAATAACAATATTGCTTCTTTCAATATGCATTCAAAGAAAAAAGAAATTATACTACCTTCTAAGGTATCAGTTAATTAAAACGTATATATTTTATAATCCGACTCCTTGGACATTGGTCCAGCTTCAAACCAATTGCTAAACTGGTGTTCACACAAGAGTGATTATACCCAAATGTGGTCAATTTTAAATGTAATGTGACAATTTAATTATATAGGTAAATTCTGTTTATATACCTCATTAAAAGGCCAGGGGCTATTGTACTGGTAAGTTAATCAAATTTTACAAATTAACTTGTCCTTGGAATCAGTCAATCGAAAAATAATTTCAAGAGGGTGTTTCCTGAACAAGATTACTAGCAGGCTTATCTCACTCTCCAATCAAACATCAAAGAGATTATAGTTTGAACCAATAGTAAATATTGTTGCAATGGATTTGAAAAAACACTGGGGTAGTGAATACTACACAGACAAAAAACGATATCTGAAGGACCGTGAAATAGATATACTATATCTTTTTCTTTCATTACAATACACAAAAGGATGTCCTACTCAAAATACCCGACTCGGAACAAAAAGGACTTGATCAATAATATCAATATTTGGCGAAAACTAAAGTGAAAAAAGCACAAACACCGAAGCACCGCTTTCATCAAGATGGCAGAATGTTGTTAAACAATAAAATGCATTTGTTTATTTGAATCAACAAAAAATATTGATACAAGAATCGACGAAAATAAGTATTTTTTATTGTGTTAGGAAATCAATCATTAAAGGAATTAAAAGAATTTTTTTTTCTTTCTAAACAAGAATCATAGAATGTAAACCTTAAAACAAATAATGACAATTCCATTATTAGAACAGTAAAAGATGCTAAAAATACAGAAAACCAAACCTGAAACAAACAAGGAACGTTCTATTATTCAAAAAAAGATGCTAACAAGTATTATAGTATCCTACTATATCGCATCTTGGAATTGTGACATCATATAAAAAAATCCAAGCCCATCAATCGATGCACAATTGTCCAAGCCATGTCAAGTTTTATGTCAAATTGTACCTGAATTCACGTCTTTTTTCAAAGAGCATCACCCCATTAAGAAAAACAAGTTGAGTAGCGTAAGGGTACTAGTTCTAACTCCAAAAATCAAATGAAAAGTTACTGATATATTAAACAACCACCAACTCACACACATTGTTTGAGCTCTCACCATTACCAATCGCAGGTCTTCAAAGCTCTTACCATTACCCCATCAGTCTCAACTATGACATGTAGACAAAACATTTCAAAAACTTTATCCAACAATATGCTTATCTTTTCATGAGGACCTTGAACCATAGGTCTAAAAAAAAAATTATTACAGGCCAAGCAACATGTTTGTGTTTTTCTGAAATCATCCAACAGCAAGAAACAAGAGCCATGATTTATTTTATTAGACAATTTAACACCCTAATGGCTCTGTTGAATAATCCTCAGACATTATGGTGTCAAGCATTTTTCTACAACATGATCTTAGCTTTGCATTACAGTAAGTTGAGGTAATCCTTAGCTAAAATTCAATGAACCTTCAAATTTATCGTACTTTTTCCAAATTTGTTCGTTCTGCCATAATAATTTGCTAGTGGACAAAATTGATTTTTGTTACTAATTTAATTTTTGTTTTTACATTACACAATATCACACTTATTAAAATTCACATGTCTGGTAATGGACTAGAAGCAAAAAAAGGGAAAGAGAGGACGTTGAATATCTTGGCTTAATAATAGTCTTAAGTCATTTTGATACTAATAACTTCTTTCATACGGTTCTAATGATTCTAAATTAAATATATTTAGCTGGAACCCAAAAGGGCAATCAAGTTTACAGATGCAAATTTGTGTAATATTTGGACTTCAGAGTATTATCAGTTCTACGTACATTGGAAAGCAAACTCAGCTAAATACGGGAGTTTTCCTTAAAATTACTGTAAGGTGAATCTGCTAGTGGACAATGCCCTTAGATTACCATATAGCATTGGAATATAAGGACTGGCAGATGCTGTACACAGGGCAGGTTCCTTCAAGACCTTATAACCATGCCATGTGTCTGGGTATAAAAGGTCCATTTTTGATCTCCTTGCACCAACTAGACCATATAATAATCAAAGATTTATCTCTGAAAACCACACATTTTTTTTTCAGCATAATATCAATAATGACTTAAATCTTTCTATTCTGACCTTGGTCCAAGAACCACTTCCAACCCCATTATGATTCTCCACATGACAATCTAGTAATGTTTAATAAATGTACGAAGGTGTAATGTGATAGTTTAGTAAGTAAGTGTAAAACCCAGACTGACATTTGAAAAACGTCCTCAAGGTGTCCTCTTACCAATTATTTGATCTGCGGCCATTATTGTCTACATTTACACTAAAGTATATCTTTACAGGTCCGTGCTATTCTACTTATTAGATTTACAAGCCCTGAAGTAATCCGCAGATAAAAATGTGAGTTCTGCAACACCAGAGGCATTGCATCAGTACAGATAATTTAAAAATTCTTAATCTAAAAATATTTTTTTGAAGGGGTGTTAGTAAACACCATTTGCCTAAAACATCCAGGGGAGATTATAGTCTGGGTATCTAAACTAGAATATGTCTCGGTCTTCCTAGAGAATATAACGAAATATGGTTTCATTCCTCAAAAGCCAAAAAAACCCAAGATGACTGCAAAATTGGACCAAGAAGAAAAATGTTGCATGAAAATAAATGCCAGTAACACTGTAATAAATATGTTTTCTATCCATGTGGAACTCTTTGTCTGAAACATTTGAGAACCCGGATTAAGAGTGGTGTGACTTCATTGGCCATATTTTCTGAAATTTGCTTTATTAAATTTCCTAAAATAAATTACAGACTACCAGTATTCTGCCATTAAGTTTATTTGACTTTAAACATGGGATAATATTACAGACTTGATTGCAGTCAGGGTGAAATAACTAGATAAATACTAGAGATAAAGTATAAGGAAACCCATTCATGTTATTACCCAAAACACTAAATGTCTGTCACACTTTCCTCATTAAATCTTCGAGAAGCAGTTTTTTAGCTAATTTTTTGTCTCAGAATGTTGTTTTAATCTATTCACTAAAAGAAAACCTTGTTCAGCTTATTTATGGTTTCTGCTCGGCAAATAAATCCATCTTCTTTAAAAGTAGAAGGCAATTTACATGATGACATAAGTTTATTGGGAAACCTTTCTTTAATTAACGTTTTTTCACCACATCATGTTGTCAGTCGACGTGGCACATGTAACTTTTCATTTTCCAATTATTTCTTTAGGCGTAAGTTGAGTAATTAACTGCGAAAAAGCCAAAAGTCAAGTCTATTTCAAAGACGAACATGTGTGTTAGGGTACATGTAACAATCCTACATGTTTATTTTTCCCTCGTTTCATAAATAAATGGAATGAATGATTTACTGTTTTGCATAAAATCTCAGTGCACAAACTTTTATAAGCTTGATTTTTAAGTACGTGAATTCAGTTTGGTATTCAGATAAACACGTTGTGGGTGTAATATGTACAATCATTTCATCTTTTAACCTATGACGATATAATATTTGTTGACTTTTTTCAATTCATATTAAAACCGGAAACTTTAAAATTTTCTTTTATTATCTATCTAATGCAAAATAAATAAAAATGGAAGAATAAACAAGCACCTAAAAAAATTAGATACTGCATGATCTGAATAGAATCATCCATTGTTTAAATAGACAGCGGTACAGGCAGAAGCAAGGAATTCTCTTTATGATTGTGGTTTAAAATTTTTAAGTTTTCTGGAAGTAGCGTACCAATTTTAAGAGGCTGGAGTTAGGAAACTCCATGATGAGATATTGCTGTCAATCATGTTACGTGATATACTGTGTGCATTCAAACAGTTCATGTAATTGAAGGGAGGGAAAGATTTCATTAATTTAAGTCACTTATACATGGAAACAGTAAAGA